TCAATGTTTCGTCTATGCGTATCAACTGTCCAGGAATACTTACTCTCGTATGATCTGCCTTTAACGTATTCAATGACCGCCGTCCCGTTGTAGGGGTCGCCACCGTCATTTAGAACGTCTGTCATGGCTTTGGCGAAAAGCATAACTCCGTCGTACAGGTACGCCGCCTCGATTGGAATCTGCGAACAACATATTATTAGAACGTAGACTGAAACGAGCATAGTTATTCTAAAGTCGTCATGGCAACATATGCTTAAGTTGTCATTAAATGTATAAAGTGTCAGCATATACCAGTGGGAGTAGCAGTTTATTTGCTATTGCCGTTTATTTCAAAGCAAGCAAGGATGCGAGCAAGAGACAACGACGTGAAAGATAAAGATGCATCACTGATATTTTTTTTTTGCAGTCAGAATGAGATCGACTATGATCGATTTCAGTAACACTCGAGTCAACAAAGTATCCGATTTTGCACTCAATGCTTAGTACATTAAGCAAATATGAGTCTTGTAACAGACGTAGTACGCAGTATTTAACACATTCATGGTGGGTTATGGGAATTGATATCTGGCAAACAATGATGAAGTGACTGTTGCTATGCAAATACATTATTTTACACTCTGTGCGTGTTCAGTGTATATTGTGTTTGAAATTAACAAATAGTCGATTACGAGTGTTAATATCGGGAGTTGACTGCGACATCAAGTATTTTTATATGTAGAATTATACTTGGAGACTGTGTTGCATTGACTGACTGTTACTCGCATCGTTCTTATATATCTTTCTACCGTGGTATGCCCCTATGATACCTTCTGTATCTCACATTTTCGAGCTAGTTTGTCAAGTGACTTATTTATGTTCAATATTAATATGCAATAACTGTTATTTTTATATTTGAATTCCAGAGTAACACTTGTATAAATTAATGTTTTACTTCGCTTAGTTTTGAATCCTCCCTGTTAATTTTGCCCCACAGTGCATAGTTATTTTAACGAAAATCCACCAGAGTTTCTCACACGGTCAACTCCTCGCTGTAAATAAACGATGAAAATGGTGGTCGTAGTAGTTGTACAGTAAATTCACAATATACTTACGTCTCGTCGGATAGTTCTGCTTTCGAAATTGAAAGGCGGACGCGACAAATATTCATCAACAGTTATCCTAAAGTCCTTGTACGTATCACTTATCGGTGGTGTGGCAATTAGAATCAGGAGTGATTGGTATGCTGAAATCAACTCCGGAGTGAACCAAATTTGATACGGATCTGAAACCATAGACATATTATGCTATCATTGAACGCACTTTACCAATCATACAACAAAACAACTGACACGAATTTGACCTTGAAAATAAATCTGTACATTCTTCTATATATATATAATGAAATTTATGACGATTTGGTCCGGAATTGACGGAAAAATTATAGAAAATCGCATAAAAATGTGTAAAATATCGCCACAATTTGAAGTGAATAATGATGGCGTTCAATTTGTTGGAAATCTCACCCAATAAGTATTTGTCGGCGTCCTCCAAGTCGTATTGTTCGGTGTCCACTGTGATTACAATATATTCTCCATTTATGAGTAAGCCCTTTTGTTGCATTGCTGTCATGAATTCGGGCCGAATGAATTTCTCCCCTAGTAGTATGTAAACTAAAAATACAAAACATCATATATATTTATCGCTTTAGATAGCATGGCCATATGGAAATTCCAAAGAATGATGTTCCAGCAGATCGCCTTCACCTAGTGGTCGAGAGAGAGATTTCTGATCGCACACGAACACGTGGGGAACGAGGGAAAGATGGCGTGGACAGGCATCATGTCACTTGTCGACTACAGCAAAATGTGATTGGATGCACACATGTGTATTTGAATAAGTGTATTTGATGTTGCACTTTAGTAATAACATTATAGTATGCATTATCGCAAAATAATAACTTCATTGAATTTGGTCATAAAAGATGATCGGAAAACATGATAATGAAATATCGTGAGAAAACTGAAATCGATTGCCCACTTCACTAATTGCACGCATTTAGACGTGGTTTAGACGTGTTTTCACTTACTTCGCGTTGTGTCGAAGGTGTTTTCAATAATCGGCGGGAAGGGGTCGGGAAAACTGTTAAATCCGGGATAATATGGATGTGGATAATACTCAACAGTCTGGATAGTGACGTTGGAAGCGGCAAGGTCGTTTTCCAGACTGTGGCTTACAGCCATCCATTGCGTATCTTCCGACGTAACAAGGGTAACATGGTCCCAGTCAAAGTATTTCAATAGCGCCACCACTGATTTGGAGATTTGAGAATCGGGAGGATATGTCCGGGCAAAAGTTGGATATATTTCCTTGTCACTCACTTCATACTCGGCACATCTCTGAAATAGAAATAGTAAACATATTCAAAACCAACTATTATTAAGTCAAAGGGAAAACCCTTCACTGTACTAGACAGTTTAAAAGCCACATTTTTTATTGTTTCCATGGCAATAATAAATACACATTTCGACAGTTGCCGTTTCAGTTGCTTCGGACTCTTTCAATCATGAAAGAGACCATTGAACTGACTACATTGTCTGAGGTTTTAATTACATAGCATTTTAAAATGTAACATGAAAAAGAACCGATCGCCGCGCACAGCCAGATGGCTAGACGATGTCAGCAGTGTTCGGCTACTTGTATCGCTATGATGAAATAGACATACAATCGTTCACTTTGAAAATAATGAAATTTAATAAGTAACAATGACGGTATGGGTACTCCGTCTGGTGATTGACGGGTAGGGAACATGTCTACTCTGCAGCGTACTACATATCGACGCTGTCCCCGAGCAAATGGGGGATAGTGAAGAGAAAATGGGCCGGTGTGAGATTAGGGTAGTCATTCATAAACCATGAAATGCTTCAGCTCCACTGCACATCTCAGATTCCCAATTACCCCTGTAGGACGTACATGCTTACTGAATGGTAATGAAGACGGGGGTTGTCTTTGTCAACGTAGAGTTTACATAATGTCGGTTATTTAAATCATCTTTTCGTATTAACTACTTGATGACAAATATATGATGCTGTACTATGTATAGCGGCTGATTTCAATGATGTATAATTGTGAGTTCACATTCACTGTCTTTTTTTCTCAAATTAAGGGATATTGAATCATGGATGATGAGATACAAGCCAGACATGCGATATCATGTTGTTGCAGGAGTAAAAATGATAAGCTACCGCACTAAGTGAATTGAATACATTCTTACTTCATAAATATTTTACAAACTATTTCTTAGTTCAGTCCATTTTATTATCAGCTTTTAATACTACTAAGCAATGTATTCATAACCAGGCAAATTAAGTGCAGACCCAATAAAGTAGTAAAGTCAAATATAGGAATCCATTAAATGTAGTTACGTCAAATATAAACATCCACCAGGTAGTTAAATTGGTATCATTAACAGTGAATGCCTCAACAAATGTCCGCACTGTTTTAGGCGGACGTGATACGATACTAATAACACATCCCTTAGGAAGAATTTCCAAGTAATTACCGACATCAAACGAATTAAACTATCAAGCAAATCGTTCCATTTCCGGTTATTGCCTGCTATTCGAGGCTTTTACATCACGAAATGGTAACATTATAACTTCAATCACTCTCGTCTTAGATAGGCTTGAGATTAAACGGACACGCACCAAATGAATTAATCTAATGAACACAAGTATCACCAAAGTGAATTGATATCTATGAACAGTAGAAACAAATATGTAATTCGACGAGAAATGCCACGGGGGAATATGACTGATAATTTAAAAGGAAACATGTTTTACTTTGGCTCGTTAATCACGTTAAAATACTTGCGATGTTGTGACATAAAATATTGATTGGATAGTGTCTTGTTTCTCGCGTGAAACAATTCGCATAATAAATAATAGTGTGTGAATTCTTAGAATGTAACGTCGTGAGTAAAATTTCTGTGTCAATTTAAGTTTGCGTAAATAACATCGGGGTATTGCCATACTCGTCCTTGATACCGGCATGATCCGTAAGGAACATAATTAATTCGGCGTATGAGAATACAGCCCAGACTGATTCCACTGAAGTCACTGAAAACATTTGCCTACAGGCTGATCTGTTTACCCTCCCTTGGTACACATAGTCTTTGTTGTTTGCAGTATTTGGCTCGTCAGTCAGAAATGACTCTTGCTTCTGTGCACTCAGTGACTGCATCAACTTCACTAGTACCCATTCTCTTTGTACACAGTGTCTGGTTTGTCCCAATTTCTCAGTACCCATGTTCGTTGCACCTCATGCTACTATAGTAGTTGCACATAGTAGCTATATTGCCCTGCACTGTCCCAGTACTCAATGTCCTTTGCACACAGTGCGTGGCTGGTCCGTCCATCACCAATAATAAATTATGATTTACTATCAGTTTTACAACGTTGAATGATTTATAAACAATTATATTAAAAGTGTCGTTAAAGCGATATCTAAGACTAGTGTCAGATAAACACTAGATTGTACGATGGATTCGACTGGCAAATAAACCGTTATATCCTGTATCCATCGCCACCAGTGCGCCTTCTAACAGACCTGATTCTGAAAGAATTCCAATAAACTGGAATCCCCGAAAATTCGTGCGTCAGTTTGTTGACAAATTGTATTTGATCGTATAAGTGACTTGGACACAAACAATAAGTTTGTAGTCCATGATTTCTTTTTACCAAATTACAAATTCCACAACTATACCAAGATGTTTTTCAAGATCACGCGCAAGTTAAAGCGGGGGAGTCGTCACCTGCGCATGCGTCAGATGGCCATAACGTGTCATTGTTTACAAACATGCATCTACCAGAGCCTTTGCTTTTGGAACTCAATTCCCATGCGTGCGTAGGTGACGACCTTCCCGCTTTAATTAATACAACTAGTTGTCACAGAAAATCTGGGTGCGTCAGCGGCTCGTCATATTGGCTTAGAGGGCGCGCACTGATCGCCATGTGACGTCTTACTAGAACGTTCTGTGACGTAGCTCCGCCCCGAAAATATGTTGATAACACAGGGACTGTGGTTGATATCACTTGCTCTCCTGTGTAATCATCAATGTATTTACAGTGACCGACAATATAGCGTCTATATTGTGGGCGCGCATGGAAAAGAGCGCTGACGCGAAGTGATAACACGCGGCATGGGCTTGCGTACTTCTGACGCGTGTCACCCGTAAAAGTACCTAACATTACGAACAGGCATGCGCCCCATGTGGTGCTTTACTTTCACAATGTTATCTTTACTGCGCGTCCCTCATTGTATGTGATTTCTCGCTCGCTAATAATATACACGCTATAGTGAGCATAGTGGTATAGGCGCAAAGTGAATCTTTCTTTGTTCACTGAAGTGAGATGCATCATGGGAGAACCACATAGTATATCATGCTTCATTTACTAAAATAACGATGACTTGTGATCGAAATAGTGTACGTGGTTATGGATGTAATCATGCAAACACATATCAACTAAGCATTGCCGTGTCAGCGTCAAATGCTCCTTTAAGAGGAAATTACGCTGTAATTAGCATGCGCAAATACAGTTGAAAACAAGGTCATGGCATTGGTCGAACTTGAAATGTCCGATAACTCCCGAAATTACAAACTGATTATATGAATTATCATACAATTGGAGAAGTCTGGATAAGAAGGAAAGATCAATTACGTTAAACTTAAATTGAATATACTTTTTAAATAAATAGGCAAATAATATTAACATGGCGACAAGAAACTCAAGTTTAGTGTGAATTGTCGGCGGTAGCATCTTGAATATTGATAAATATTAGTTTGATACCCAGTTTGTTCAGAAAGCACATGGTTGCTATAGCAACCAGCTAAAGGTAGTATTACAGTTTTATTATTAACATGCCGGATATGTTTTTATACACTGCCCATGACTCAAAAACAATGAAGCAAGTCCATTAAAGTAAATAACGCACTGTATTGTCTTGTTGTTTATGTACATCAAATTTTGTTAATTCATCGAGTATAAGCATTGATAATCTCTTAACTTTGATTTGATTACTTGCTACGGATGAATTAAAGATTGGGATTACAGTAAGCAAATCACACGCCTGGGTATGTTGTCTACGTTTTACTTGTATTCTCCTGACCTTGTTCTTTAGAAACATGATCATGCTGTTGTCATTAAAAACAATTTACAACCAAGGGCAAAAACACGGCCACATGTAACTTTAACTCTCTTCTTTGAAAATTCGTTTGTTTTTTGTCCATGTGTTTAGAAAGACGATATAAGTATTAGCATTATCCCCGAGAGGCATGTCTCGTATTCCTTGTATATTACGCATAGCATATACATATGAGTAAATATAGTACGCAAGCGTATACATTTTGAGATCCGGGTCTCGGGGGGAACGGAATATCCATCGACGGAGTTCGCATTCTCTGATATTTACAGTTCCTTGTGCGAGGCGCTGATTTGAATGCAAATTGACGATATGACCATGTGTTATTAATGTGTCGTAGTTTACAAAAAAAAAAATAGTATACGAAGATACCTCTTTATTGCTTGTATTGTCTTCACTATCGATTATTTCAATTCGATCTTTATCAGTGTGTATCCGATGAAGGCTTTACAAGGCAAGCCATGACCGTATACGTCTCGCGGCTAGCACCGAGAAATTGGTCGGTGTAAAATGTACATCAAAAGTGACACTGGGGAAACTTATTCTCATCAGTATATGATCTATTTCATATAAATGTTTAATGGAGGTCACAACCTGGGAAGTATTACGTGGTTAGTTGCTAAAGTGCATGGCTAGGGTGAATACACATGCACTTTACGACGTATCGACAAGCGTGAAGCGTGGACAGGCCAGTGAAAGGTGTTCACCGTATGTGCTATTCTATATTATCTCATGTTTTCTCATATTGTTCATTCAAATGTTCAAAATGAAAAAAAAGGTGGAGCTTCGAAGAAAGCGTCAGTTTATCTCTAGTGATTTCTAGTATGTTTATCAGCACGGCAGATTTCAGCCTGAACAACGACATAGATGTCTGCTAAGAGATGCATTATTGACGTGACTCGGGTAATATTTTCTGGCAGTATGTGTCATACGGTCATAATCACGATACTTTGCAATAGGAAGGCATTCAGCTTGGGTTTAAGAAGTAAATGCAATTAATGTGTTATTATCAGTTTGTAAGTTACAACCCGGCAGGGATCATGTGATGGAGTAAATGTATTGTTCGAAGTAAGACAATATTTCCACGGGAGAAAAGCGATCAAAATAATGACTTCGCTAATGTCATGACGTAAGCTTTTCGTGAATCAGGGCAAATTAATTGAATGAGGAATTTTCCATTAAATGTATAGATGATCGTTTTCGTATCTTTCTCATATATGTATGTTTCATTGTGTTATACGCCGGAGCCATGGGTGTGTATCGTTAATGCAAAGAGACATGTGGAATGCATGTCACAACCTTTTCAGGGATAATTTGAAAAAAAATATTATCGATAATGTGTTTGTTATTTTATAGAGACGACGTCATTTCACTAACATAGGTACACCGAATAGTCAATTTTGTTAATAGCCGACGAGATTGCCAGTCGTTTTGTGATGTCTTTCCACAAACTTACTAGTATTCAAGGTAGATATCATCCGCCCTCACAATGTGTAGAATAAGGCTTAACGCTCATTGCACATTCACGTCGCACGCCGATTGTTGAATAGGTCATACGTCTTTAGGCGCTCACTTCAAAACTCAATACGCCGCAAAGACGCATTCATGAATTTATTAACATAATAGAATTACTTAAAAAGTATACAATTGTTTCGCCCTTTGATCTGTAAACGTGGTGACATACAAGTTACAACTTAAAGTGTATGAGGAGGGGAGGGGGTTGTATTAGGACTGTGTTGCTGGGTGAATCGCTCTTTTAGATATTTCAGTATAATTTGGGTTGACTTTTTTAGAATGCTGGAAAAGTACGTTTTGAATCCCATTGCTAGGTATATTGATATAATATGAATGTTATAATCAAGCGGTACCTTAAAAATTAATATTGTGTCAGAAATATAGACCAATCAGAAGATTAGAGCAGCAAAATATTTATTTATCATTAAGAAACAATGTAATATAAATAAATTTGCATAAAAGAAACGTTACTCATCAGACTGCAAACTTTTCTGATCGATGTACAGTCATGAGCATATGTGTCCAATTGACTGCATGTCTTACAATATGTTTAGTTTATAGCAAATCTAAGGCAAGGCTCCTATCATTGTGCTATGTTTGGTAATAAACCACGCTTAGCTTGACGCCACAAGGGATTGTGGGTATTGTGACGCAATACATTTGATTGCATTGGTGGTATTTACGACTGGATCAGTGACTGATGTGAAAACAACACTTGTGAGCCATTCGTCATTTTAATGACATCGGCGTGCGTTCATAAGATGTTTAAAGACAAGCTCAGACTTGATTGCGGCTCACTTGGAAAATTTGTGATATTTTTGATAAACAGAAGTAACTATAAAACTTATTGAGAAGTAAAGTTAATAGCCATCTTACTGAAAGGTTTAAAGTTAGGAGGGCCCAATAGTATATATGTATAACTTTGCTAATTTCTAGATGGAATCAGTCGGTGGATGGTTGTCGTAGAAAACTTTTTCTAGCACAGAATGGGAAATGAATCTATCTGATGTTAGTTAGTGTACAAACTATCGCAAAATACAATTAAACGATCGATCTCATTGATCCCGTTGTAACTTTGAATCCCGTAAATTTTGAGTATTGAGAATAAAAAAAAACATTGCTGTAAAAACTGATTATGTGCAGAAAGTGTCATGTGGCGTACGTGGTGTGTATCGACTGTGTACATTGCGCATTCCGCTGCCGAATATGTACTTCAAAAGTCATAAACCGATGACAGTTTCGTCATTCAACGGTGAGAATAAGATCTGAACCTATGGGTCCGAGCAACGTGCAGTGGTGCATGACCTCATCTGACCTACAGAGGGGTCATACATATATCGACGGAGGTCATCCGAGTTCGCCAGACAAATGAAATTGCTGTTACCGAGTTGTTGAAATACACATATTAATTAGGTTGTTGACGCGGAACCGACCGTATTCAAATTCGCTGGTGGTGCAGAGAATAAGAATTGTCGGTGTTTACTGAAATGTACATTTACTACTAACTTTCACCAAGCGATGATGAAATGGCGTGGAATGATAATACAATTTTTGAAAACATGCAGTTTAGTGAATATAATTCGATGAATTAC